AGGTCAAAGGTCAAATCCAAGGGTATATTTGAAATCTACACATATGACTTTTGGAAAGCCGTCTATAGAAATTTTTCCCATAACTCCTTCCGTAGGGTAGATAATTAGCATTTAATTTTGCCATTTTTAGACAAGGGTGCATTGCAATGAGTGCCACACCCAGACCCCAATACCGACAAAGCCCAAATTTTACGTGGAACGAGTTGAGATTATAGGTGACCTAAATCCATGAGATGGATACGGGGGCCCTTACCGTCTAGGAGGAGAAGCGGTAACGGTAGCCGTCCGGCGGAGCCGGCGGAGCCGGCGGAACGATCCGGACGGGACCGAAACCATGTGTACCGCCAGCGCTAACGCTGGTGGTACAATAATACAAGAAAAGTGTCAATCAGTACATTTAAAAAGCTTGGTGTTAGCAATCAAAGCCTGACCAACCAGCCATGGGTAAATCTCTATCTGCAACAAAAAATTTTAAAAACACGGAGAATATCGTTTGCTCATATCCACATTTGTAAATCATCACTTACTTTTGATGAAAATATCCCAGGTCTCATGAGATGGTACGTTTTAGCCAGGGAGTAGACATCCACCCCATCCTCATGTTTTCTCTGGTTGTTCAGGGAGTAAAGAGCACAGAAAGTGCCAGCCACTGATCCACCCTCTCTGTAGAAACAGAACACCAATTTTGTTTTAACTTTTTTTTTCCACTTTTAAAATAACATTTTAAATGCACATGGGAAAAATAAAAATACAGAAAGACTAAAGAAGTAAATACCAGTGATTAAAAAAAAAATTGGAGGGGGGGGGGGGTGGGGGGGAGAAGGGGAGGGACATCCATTTACCTCACATTCTCAATTAGGTCCTGGTGAGAGACATACACTCATATCAGTCTGAAAAAGGCCTCTGACCAGTTTACCACAAGCTAACACGTGGCGAGGAGAATTTTCCATTGTGTATCGAATAATTGAATGATTCATATTCAAATACCAAGCTGATGAACATTATTGCTCATCTCAACTTACTTGTCTATAACTATAATTGGTCCATTCTGGTGCTCCTTGTGCCAGCTATCAACTGTGTCAATGAACTCCAGCACTGTATGCAGAGGAGTGCAACTCTCAGGCCAAGCAGTCGTAGAGATAATACGCGAAGTGAGTTCGTAGTCATCCTGGTTAAAAATGTAGAACATATAATATAAACAACGCTAAGGTTACGTAAATATTGTTAAATGGCTAGGCTAGTAATATTGATTCATTTTAACCTGGCCCCAGTTTTACAAAAAAAAAAA